TTGGCTGTGGCATCTGCCAGAGCATTTCCTCGGGCCACTGGAGAGTTTACCTTCTGGTGTCCTTGGCAGTGGATAACTGCCACCTTTTTGGGGAGCCACACAGCTGCAAGCAAGTCTAGGATCTCTTGGGCATTTTTGATCTTATGTCCACCTGTGGTTAATCAACCTCGTTCTTGATAGATAACTCCATGTACATGTAAGGTAGCAAAAGCATACCTGCTGTCAGTGTAGATGTTCACCTGCTTATTTTGTCCCCAGCAGAGGGCCTGGGTTAAGGCAATGAGCTCTGCTTATTGGACAGATGTCCCATGTCCCAAGGCTTGGGCCCAGATCACTTGGTCTTCTGTGACCACTGCTGCCCCAGCATAACGTACCCCATTTAGGACAAAACTGCTTCCATCGGTGTACAAGGTAGCATCAGGATCGTCCATAGGAATGTCTGTGAGGTCCTCTCTCAGGCTTGTCTTTGCATCAAGCACCTCAAGACAGTCATGGAGTGGGGCCTCAGGATCACCATCTGGTAACAAGGTGGCTGGGTTTAAGGCTGTAGTGGACAAGAACTTAATATGGGCTGGGTTTAAGAGCAAAGCTTGATATTGTACAATCTGTGCATTTGAGAGCCATCTTTCAGGAAGGGTTCTAAGAAGATTCTCAATTGCGTGAGGAGCCACAATTTGGAGCTCCTGGCCAAACATGAGCTTAGTAGCTTCCTTTGTCAAAATGGCAGTGGCGGCTATGGCTCGCAGGCAGTTTGGCCAACCTGCTGCAGTGGGGTCTAGTCTCTTAGGCAGGTATGCTATAGGTCTTTTCCAGGGCCCCAAGTATTGGTTAGGACCCCTTTAGCGACGCCCTTGCTTTCATGTACATGGAGCTGGAATGGTTTTGTCAGATCAGGCAGAGCTAAGGCAAGAGCCGAAGGAAGGGCTTTTTTTAGAACCTCAAAAAACCTCTTGTTCAGATTTACCCCAACAGAGTTTTTCTTTTTGGTCCCCACCAGTACTGGCATACAGAGGCTGGGCAATTTCAGCAAATCCTATGATCCAAAGCCTGCAATATCCAAGGAACCCCAGAAATTCTCTTACCTGTCGTTTGGTGTTTAGGGACAGGGATTTTTAATATAGCTTTAATCCGTTTAGTAGACACAGTTTGTTGTCTTTTTTTTTTTATCTTTTTTTTTTTGGATCCTTTTTTTAACTTTGGAGTCCTTTTTCCCCATGGCAATCAGAACCTTTGTCATCCTCTTATTTAGCTTCCTAGAGTTTTTCCTGGTATTAAAAACTCGCTGAGCTATCTCCACCAGCTCTGTGTTTTTTTTTAAATCTTTTAATCTTTTGCAATTTTTTTTTTTAATGTCTGGGGCCGACTGAGATACAAAGGCAATGTTTATAGCGCGACAGTTCTCAGGGGCTTTAGGATCTATCGGTGTATATATCTGATAGGCCTCTTGGAGATGCTCTAAGAATGCCACCGGAGACTTATCAGGTCCCTGACTGACCTCTGTAACTTTAGACAAATTAGTAGGCTTTCTAGATGCCGCCCTGATTGCCCCTAAAAGAAGCTGGCAATACTGATTGAGAGCCTCCTTACCTCTATGGGAATTAGAATCCCAGTTAGGACGAGTCAAAGGGAAGGGCTCCTCCAGTCGTACAGGATCCAAAGCTGGTTGGCCGTCTGGGCCCAAAATTAATTTTCATCCACACCCCCGGATTCACTCCTGCTCTTCAGATGTAAAGAGGGTCTGTAAAAGCTGTTGGCAATTATCCCAAGTGGGCTGATGGGTGAAGGAAACAGATTCCAGAAGAGATATAAGCCCTTGAGGATTCTGAGAGAAAGAGGGGTTCTGGTTTTTCCAGTTATATAAATCACTAGTCGAGAAGGGGACGTAAACCATGAAAGGGCGGTCATCTCCACCCAATTGTTTATGGAGAGGAAGTACTGAGGCTGGTGCTAAGGTGGGAAAAGGATCAGGGTCAGATGGCAGGGGCTGAGAAAAGGGCAGTCCGCTATGGGTATGCGGCGGACTCAGAGGAGTGGAGGAGTCGGGGCTAACTGAAAGGTTAAGGGAGGGACGGGACAGCTTAGGGTAAGGAGGGGTAGTCGGGGATTCAGATGTTGGGGGCAGCACAGGTGGCCTTTTTGGACTTGAGGATCCTTTTCTAGAGCAGCGTCCAGCGCCACCACACCAGAGGCGCGTTGGCGTGATGCCCAGGCACGGCGACAGGTTTTTATCCACTTTGGAGAGTCGTGTAATGAATCTATCCATGCTTGAATATATGGGACTAGATCAGGATGTCCTGGCTTTTTAAATATGACCCTATGGACCTGATAAGCAAGAAAGATATTAGGAGCCCTCCAGAGGCCATATGGACTCTGATAGGTGGGGCCACTCCATTTCGCACAAAGTGCGGAGAGTCCCCAGGGAGATGAGGTCTCCATAGTCAGCAGCTTGCCATCGGAATTCCTGGAAATGATCAAGAATATATTGCAAAGGTGACACAGAAGCAGAAGCAGACTGACCCATGGTTATCAGAAAGACAAATGGCAATCGGCTGAAACAAGCAAAAACAAAACAGAAACAGACCTAAGACTCCAACCTGTCGTCACAGAAAGGAGTTGAGTCCGGAGGCTGTCACTGCATCCAGCACCTCTTAGGACTCTCAGAGGGGGCGCCCCGACAGAACAGACACAGATGTCTTACCGGCAAGATCTTTTACATGGCTCAGTCTAGTCAGTCCGAATGATAGGATTTATGAGTTTTTGGACACCGTCCCAGGGCCAGAAATTTCCCCCGGGGAAATGGTTTTTAAAGACTCTGGTTCCTATGATTGATCCCCAATGACGGGAATCCCGGATGAGCCCCCAAATGTTATGGGTCAACTCTGCATAGGAACCAGATCAGCCAGATAGAAATTTGAATAGAGCTTTTTATTTACTGAGCTCACGTCCATCAGCCACTTCTCTCACAGGAGAAGGCTGATCGGCCCCGAACGTAGGTAGCAAGGGGGGTATTTATAACAGAAATCACATCTAGTTTGGTAAGCAAACTTGTTATCTAGTACAGAACAACAGAAACTGCATTTATTTGACACAGCTGCAAACTGTTTATAACTAAAAGGTCTTCTACAGCTTAGCGATAAGTGCATATTTTTATAAGATACATCTTAAGCTGCCTATGTTACAGAAGATGGTTGGGGAGGGAGTTTGTGTTAGCTTGCTGCCTTGACAAGAAACAGTTATTTATTGTTGAACAGCCTTGAGCTGAAAGGGAGAACACATTTCTTAGAGCAGATAACAGGAAGCACAAGGGGGTTTTTATAATTTTTTACAATTAAGGCACAAAACTCTATTAACCCTTTACAAAGATGGTAGGAGCTAGGGAGAAAAATTCACCTTTCCAGGTCATACTCTTAGTAACTGCCTATTCTGATCGTGCCCTACCTCTCAAGTGTAAGACTTTGTTTTTTATATTAGGAACCCAACTCAGGGTCTTGTGCTTGCCAGGGGGGTATGCCGCTGAGCTACAAGGAAAGGAATCCTGCTTTAGATGATGTGAAGCAGGCATCCAGGTGAAGTTCTGAGAAGAAAATAATCTTGTGCAAAATTCCTCAGACAGTAAGCGGCTGAGTGTAGTCGAGGACAGATAAAAAAGTTCATTTGTACAGTGTGACAGTGTGAGTGGTGGCAGAAGGCAAATCAGAAAAGGTCTTACAGCCATAGTATGGAATTTAGGGTGTGTCTTAGCTGCAGCAAAGGCAATTGGAGAGCTTCAGGGTAAGTATCATTGGGTCTGGATTGTATTTTTAAAATGATCACACTTCTTTCTTTCTGAAGAATGAACGTAGGAAGAACAGAGTGGCAGCAATTAGGGTGGTTGGAATTTGATTTATGTTAGGATTGTATGCAAACCAGGGAGAATTTTGATAACCTTCTCTAACCCCTCCATACGAAGGCATCCTTATTCCATATCTTAAATAGTTAACTATTATAACTATCATTTAATCATTTTTTTTGTTTGTTTTTGCCTGTCATCTTCATTTAGATTTGCCAGGTATAGATTCTCAGTTACTCTGAATTTGTTAAATAACGAATAAATTTTTACTGTATTCGCAAGTATTGCATGGGAAAGATGCATACTAAAAATTATTCATTGTTTATGTGAAATCCAAATTGGTTATCTGTATTTTTATATGTTCAATCACCCAAACTACTCTCACTGGACTATAAAACACAGGAGGAGGAGAAACTTTGTCAGATCCACTGTGCATACCGAGGGTAGCAGTGTCAGGCACATAGTAGGAATCTGTTCTGAAACAAAAAGGTCATGATCAAATAAACTAATACGTAATTGAATAAAAGGATACACGAAAACAGATTGGTGGGCCGTGGGAGAGGACTGGGAGCATCTGCTGGCATGCAACCCTGCCCAGAGGACAGCTACAGCCTAGCATCTCGGTCCTACGCGCTGAGGTCACGTGAGCAGCGGCGGGGTGACGTAATCACGCCTGCGCCCTTCACTCACCCGGCTGTGGTGGCGCCTGCGCGTCTCCTCTGCTGTAGTGGTGAGTGCGGGCTTCCTGGTGACCCCCGGCCGGGCACCTGCCGCTCGCGGAGCGGCCCAGCCTCGCCAGTGGTCCTTGAGGCCCGCAGTCCCTGTCGCTGGCTGTCACCAGCACGCTGGCTGCGTCTGCGTTGGGAGAACATCGCCTCCGGGCCATGTCCAGGCCCAGCAGCGTCTCTCCGCGGCCGCCGGCTGCCGGCGGTGGAGTCGGCGGAGGCGGCGGCGGCTCGGTTGCTTGTGGGTCTGGGGGTGGCCGCCGGGCCAAGGGACTGAAGGACATTCGTATCGACGAGGAAGTGAAGATCGCTGTCAATATTGCTTTGGAGCGCTTCCGATACGGGGACCAGAGAGGTGAGGGTCCTGGCGCCAGGAAGGGGCCGCCCGCCGGCGGGCCTCGGGTGGGATGGGAAGACCCGCGGGGTTCTTGGTGAGGGTCAGCGGGTTTACGGGGCGTCTGTCCGGCATCAGGAATAAAGGTCAGGTTGCTCCAAGCCGGAGCTTTTTAACCTGGGTTTTTCAGTAGCTTTGGGTGGCCAAGCCCACCTCTTTTAGTTATTGATAAATTGCTATTTGTGTTGCTTTAAATAAGGTACGTTTAAGCTACAGATGTATAAACGTGGAAAAAAGTCATATGTAAGCCTAGTAACAGCATACAATGCTTTGTTTAAATCATAGAAGCATCATGCCAAACACTTTAGCAAATTACACTTATCTTGGTATACAAAACATGTTCCACCCCTTTATGGTTCGAAAGCTGATTGAGTCACATACTGTGAGACCAGCAGCTGACCTGTGGGACCTCTACAGCAATTAAATGCTTATTTCAGTTTGCTGGCTTAATTAAGAGAGCTGTTACTAGGGTAGCTTAAAGTTCAAATTTGGTCATGACCTGGACTGGGTGATTTTGAACATTGACAGAGGTAAAGCCTCAGTACTGTGGAACAGCAAATCTAGCCTGGAGTAGTGAAATGTGAGTTTGGGTGGCCAAGCTCACATTTACTTCGTTTTGAAAGTAAAGACAATGGAGTTTCATACTAAAAATTCGTAATGCTTGAGACATACCTCCTTACAGAAGTAAGCTTTTTGTTAACTTTTTGTTTGTTTTGAGATGGGTGTCACAGTGTAGTTCAGGGCTGGCCTCCAACTCACACCAATCCTCCTGCCTCCTCAGTCTCCCCAAAATGCTGGAATTGCAGGTGTCCACCACATTTGGCCAGCTTTTTGTTAATTAAGAAAGGATTAAATTAAAAGTGATAAATATGCTCATCAATAATTATATCGACTCAAGATTTCAGCACAAGTAACAGGAGCGGTGAATGTCATAGTTCTTTATCACTTTTAGGTTTAATGCGTTAAAAAAATTAATATCAGTATTCTGGTATGCATTCAGTTTATTGAATGACTATTTTTTCATGTAAAGTAGAATAAATATGATTATATGCTTGTACAAATGTTTTTCCAATTGTTTATGTGTTTTGCTTGAAAGAAAACTGCTTGTCCACAAGTGACACCACACTATTTTTTTTTTTTTTTTTTCTGTGCAGAAATGGAATTTCCTTCTTCTTTGACCAGTACTGAAAGAGCCTTTATTCATCGACTGAGTCAGTCTCTTGGTTTGGTCTCTAAAAGTAAAGGGTGAGCTGACAGCTTTTCTTACTGCAAAAATGGTTGTTTACCAAAAAATATAAATATATATTCCAGTTTTTAGACAGTTATTATACTTTTAGTTTCACATTCTTAATTATATTGTATGTAGATAAACTCAGGTGTGTATCAAGTACAGCTTTTTCTTTCAGTCATGCCTTAGGGCAGACCTCTCCCCCACCCATGTGAGAACTCTTTTAGCCAGGCAAGGTGGTACACTCTAATCATCTTAGGTTGATAGAAGATTAATAAGAGAAAAAGAAGTTTATTAAAATGTTGATTACACACAGGCAGGGGAGAACTCAGTGATAATTCAAAATTGGGACTTCATATGACATCTTAATAAAGAAGAATAACTGTTGAAAAGTGATGGAGTCTAATGTGGAGGCACACACCTATAATCCTGACACTAAGGAGGTTGAGGCAGGAGGATCCCTGAGTTTCTGACCACTCTGGATTTCATAATGAGACCCAATCTCATACCAAAAAAAAAAACAAAACAAAACAAAAAAAAAAAGTAAAGAAAAAAGAAGTGATAGAGAAAGGGAGAAGACTTTGAACTTTTAGTGTGGTGAATTGTGTTAGGTAACTAGGAGGAAACTACTAGGAGATAGAAAAAGGTTGTTTTAGCAAGTTCTGTTATGTCACCTCCTCTGATGCTGTCTCTGATTTGGTCTCTGAAGTTATCTTACTGTTCCTGGTAGACAGGGATATAGTATGCAAAGGTGTTCTTGTGTCTGCTTTTATTAAATTTGCCTTTAGCTCAAAATAATCCTTACACTAAAATGATGTATTTTGGGGGAGTGAATTATAAACCTCTTCAAAGGTAAATTAAGAAAAATAGTTTGCAAGATAAAGTTGATTGAGTAAAAATGTTTTTGAAAGAAACTTTTTTCTTTTTAAAATAATGGATGTATAATATAAATGTAAGTACTGTATTCATAGAACTTACGTTTTAGCTATCACTATATTGTAATGGTAATATTTATATTACATGTTCGTCATTTTATTTTTTTAACAAGCCAAGAATCTAATGATTATCTGGGTGTGTGGTTGCATGACTGTCTGCGAACACACTGGAGGCAGGAGGATCAGGGGTTTAAGGCCAGCCTGGCTGCATAGTGAGTTCAAAGCCAGCCTGCACTACTTACCAAGATCTTGTCCAGTTTTTTGATACAGGGTCTCACTTTTGTAGTTTAGGCTGGCCTTGAACTCATTATGTAGCCAGGCTGGCCTCAAACTCATGGTGGTCCTCTTGCTTTAGTCTTCTGAGTGATGGGATTACAGGAGTGCACCACCATGCCTGGTTAAAAGAGAAGAATCTAATAAGTAGAGATAATTAAAATAAAACAAGACAAAATAGTGTGGATGTGGTCATTTTTATTTTAAAAGATCTGGTTTTGGGGGAAAGTCATTTACATTTCTCAAATTGAATAACTAAAATTCTGTAGAATTACATTTGTATGCTGCATAACGATGTTTTGGTCAATGACAGACTGTATTGATGGTTCCTTGAGATTATATTGCATTGATGATATGACCGTAATTGATGTAGGCACAATGAATGAAATTTCCTAAAGATACATTTGTGAGGACATATCCTTTTGTTAAGTGACATGTACCTGTATTTTTTTTTTTTTTTTTTTTTTTTTTTTTTTTCAGTGTTTAGGCTGTTTAATAGCATACCTAGCCTTTACATCCTACATTCCACTAGCAATTTCAAACCCAATTGTGATGCCTCAAATACCTCTAAATATTACTGAAAGTTCCCTGCGAAACAAAATTGCCCAAAGTGAGACCCACTGATAGAGGGGGAAAATGATAAAATTTCAGTTTACTCTGCAAAGGGAGAAAAACAATACTTTACTGACAGTGTTAATAAAAACATGGTCCTAACATAGTTCATGTTGAAATATTTTACATATATGACTGCAGTATGGAATTAATTAGCTTAATTTGGTGTGTATTTTCACCTTCAAAGCCAGAGCTACAACAGTGGTTAGTTCTCTGAGCCTGTACATTTTACTTGTAGTCCACTAGATAGGTAAACTACCATTGAAAATACACAGATCTTTATCCAAAAGTACATGGGCCAAACCTATTTTGAGATTAAAATCTTTCAGAGTCTAGAAATATTTTAGGGTGCGCTTGCAGTATGTTATATAGTGCCCCTTATAAGGCATGGGAATCATTTTTAGTCACACCAAGATTTACTAACTTCAGGCCAAATAAATAGCTGCATACTTAGAAAAACCTTCCAGTTTTCAGAATAGTTTGTATTTCAGAATTTAGGTAAGAGGTTTTAGTTTCCATTTAAAATAACTATTTAAATACATAATTATATAGCTACCTCATGGCTATGGCCTTAAATTCCAAACAGTAGACTGAGAATGATCTTAGAAAAACAGTCCATAGGAATACACTACTTCTTAGTAACTACACTATCTTCCCTGCCTCAGCATCATCATTTAAGGAGCAATGTAGCGTGGAGAGACGTGGGGAAGGAGTGAGCAAGAAAAATCAAGACAAAAGGGGGAAATGAGGAAACTCTGAAAAGCCAGAGAAAGAGAGGAAAAAGATGTAAAGGGAAGCAAGGCAGTGGGGCTTACTTATCTAGTCCCTAATATGTATAACCTTAAAGATACAATCTTATTTATTTATTTATTTATTTATTTATTTATTTATTTTTGTGGAACTGGGGATTGAACTCAGGCCCTTGCGCTTGCCAGGGAAGCACTTATTCCACTGAGCCATCTCCCTGGCCAAGATACAATCTTTTTATGAAATATACAACTCTTCTCCCTCTCAGTTTGATCTTTGAGCAGACTTTGTATAGTATTTATCTGGTGGTACTTGTTATTTTCAAATGCTTTTCCTTTTAGAAGAATTTTTAAATGAACAAAGTTACTTTGAATTTACTTTTCAGTTTCTTTTCACTTATATAAGAATTTATATCTCTCTTTTCATGCTTGCTTTTTTCCCCCCTTTTGCAGCATTTTTTGGTTTTATTATGTTTTGATCTGGATCTGAGAATAGGTTTAAATCTTGTAGCATTAATTCATTGATTTACCCAGTTAGTTTGCTTTGTTCATCTTGTGTTTAGGATTATTGCTTAGCGATATGTGTTTTAGAAGCAATCACGTGTGAGTATAGGTCAGAAAACTTGGTTACTATTTCTTTCTTTTTTTGTGGAACTGGGGATTGAACTCAGGCCCCTGCGCTTGCCAGGCAAGTGCTTTTTCCACTGAGCCATCTCCCAGGCCCTGGTTTCTATTTCAAGACTCCTGTTTTCTCATTCTTTACTTTTAGTTCAATCTCTGTACTTTAAAAAAATTTTTTTATTTTATTTTTTTCAGTCCCTGTACTTTTTTGTTTTTTTGCAGAACCGGGCATGAAACTCAGACCCTTGTGCTTGCCAGGGAAGCACTTATTCCACTGAGCCATCTCCCCAGTCAGTCCCTGTACTTCTAAAAGAAGTTTTATTAGTACATGCTTGAAGTAGTTAAAGATTAC